AATATTGTTTTATCAAAATCTAACCAAGATAAATAAAATGTAGTAAGTCATTAATTATCAAGATAGAATCATAGAATGCTGTGAGTTGGAAGGGACCCACCAGGATCATCAACTCCAACTCTTGCCCTAACACAGGACAATCCCAGGATTCAGACCATGTGTCTGAGGGCCTTGGCCAAATGCTTCTTGAATATTGTCAGGCTTGGTGCCATGACTATCTCCCTGAGGAGCCTGTTCCAGTGCTCTACCACCCTCTGGGTGAAGAACCTTTTCCTAATGTCCAACCTAAACTTGCTCTGCTGCTTGTCCTCAGAGATGCTACTTGTGGTAGTACCAGCACAAGGCAGACAGGAGCTGAATCTTATTTTCACAGCAGAACTGACATGAAGTGACCATAGATGCCATCAGCTGGCGATTGCTGAGCCCAAACAGTCTTGGGCGCAGGAGCATCTCTTTCTTCATGGCATATTCATGTTCTTAGGTAAAGGTGGCCTGAAGCAGAAGAGATGAAAAGGAAGTAATAGCTTCGCTGTAAATAAGGACAGTGGCTACGTCTCTTATTGTCCATTTACATGCGTGAGAAACCTTCCAGAGCTCCCTACATTTATATGAAAAGCATGGAGATTCTGTTATTTGCCTTTCAGTTTTTGGATCTTTAAGGATGAATTTGGGTAATGTTTGCACCATAAAAGCTAGAGTAGTTTTTGTTTGGTTTTTACAGTGAATGATAATTCTCAAACAGTTGCTCACCTCCAGGAACTGGGACTTCAACAAAAAGGCCAGTTATTATGAGAGTTGATACCACTGAAATCTTCCTATTCCATTCTTTCAAGTCAAGTGATTTCATGGTTATGTGTGAGTGGAGTGTGCTAGTGCTCTGAGCCTGCTCTCATTTTAGTAAGCAACAGCTCACATATGTAATTCCCTTGATTTTTAATGGGATTAATTGCATGATCATTTGCTGACCACTGTAAGGAAGTCAGAATCTGGACCACAAGGTTTATAACAGATCTTCTAAATGAGTTTAGCGCAGAAGCACGAAGGAGGCAGCTCAGAGCAGAAGGCAGGACTCTGTGCAGGACTTACGTAGGAAAGCTGTTGGCAAACCCAGAGCAATTTGGAGAGACAAAGACTGGGGAGGTGGTTTTGGTGGCGAGTTATTTGTGACTGTGCATCTGTTGTGCCAGAAGCAGGAGTGGGATGTGTTTGTTCAGCCTGACTCCAGACATGCTGCCCAAATGGGTGGGAAGCTCACTTCCCAGTTTCCATATACCCACCCTGTTTCCAAACGGATCCCCCACCCTGTGACAGAGTGACATGCTAACAGATTTCTTTCTGCTCATCACACCAGTTGTACAATTGGAGGCTCCACCATGTTGGGGTTCATGTACTGATCCCTGTAAGCAGATGAACTGAGTATGAGCTCCTCTAGGTTTGCCAAAATGCATTGCCCACTTGTGTTTTCTTATCTCCCCAAAGCCAGCTACAGCCCTAACTCCTGGACTCCTTTTGGACTCCTCCTCATCCAGACTGCCCTTCTTCCCCTAAATGTTGGCGTGGTTTTACTCCAGGTGACAGGGACTGACTTTGTCATTCAGAGAATCTTGTCCCTAAATTAAATGTCGTATATCAAAGATGTGAGTGCCAACTTGTGGGGACGATCCATGTCTGAGCAGAATAACCAGGGCATTAAGTGAAGGATTTTTATGCTCCATCATACATATATTTACAATAATAACAATAATAATTTCCTTTAATGGACAAACATTTATCAGATAAATGAAAGTTTTCAACTTTCAGATGCACTGCAGACATCTAATTAAGTGAACTGAAAATCTGTTTATTGGTCTTTGGCTGTTAATCATCTGCATGGGGAAAGTGCTGTGAGTAGCAGGAGGAGTTTCTGGGGTTCAGCCCTTAGCTCCTTCCATTCCCTGCTGCTCCATTTATCTCCATGGTTAGTGTCTCCTCTTAACAGAGCCAGATTGAGCCAGGACACCACATCACCTCTGGGAGCTTTGGGATGTTTCATTCAGGGCCTGTTACTGTTTTTTCTTTTACTCTTGTGTCCATCTCTTCTTTGTGTCTTGCTTTGCATCCTTCTCCATGGGTGAGAGGATACAGAATCCCGCTTTTCCAGGGTTTTAAATATAACTTGCACTGGCTTTGAATGAAAGAACTGAGTGCAGGGAAGTGCTGAGGAAGACTCTGTGCTTCTTCTGCTCTTTGTTTGGCTTTAACATCCTGAAGGGTTTCCTTCCAGTCCATGTGGCAGGTTCTCCATGTCGTTAGTACTCATCTGTACAGAGTCCTGCTGGGAGTGCTTTTTTACGCATCAGTGGGAACAGCTGGGCATAGAGGCAGGGGCATAGTTCCTGGGCTGCAGTTATATCCTGCTCAGATCTTTTTTAGGTGTGTTAGGTTTCTCATGTCATGCTTGAGATCCAACCAGTAGTTTCCTCCTGAACCTCCTGCACAGCTGCCCAACAGCAGCCTGTCCCTCTTGCTGGGTCAGCACAAATGCCAGACCCAACTTCTTAGTCCAGGGGCCAGTCCATAGTCCAGCAGCAAGTGTCATCTGGGGTTAGGGGCTTGGAGAGGAACTGTCACGCTCCTCCATGGGCGCCCAACCTTGTATGGCCTCTTGAGAAGCAGCAACTTCACTCCTTGTCTTCAGTTTCACACGAACGTGTGGATGTTACCCACTGGGATATTGTCTCGTGCATCAAAGATAAGAAATCTTCCATGCTGCCCAGTCACTCTGTGCTGGGACAGGCTGTGTCCCCATGAATTGCATCAGTGGCCTCCTGAGCACCTCTGCCTTCCCCCAGCTCCCTGCCATCCAGACCCTCCCAGCAGAGGCAAGAGCCGGGGTGGAAAGTGTAGTTTGGGGAAGTTTAGCCAAACTCTTCCAGCTGCAGCTTATTGTATCTATTTTGCTGATATCCACCCTTTAGATAAATAGCACTAAGTTACACACGTTGTGACTCCCTTGATGTGGTTAAAAAGGCTTGTATTAGCCAAGCTAATCTAACTCCAAGAATAACCATGGGAATTTGACTGTATCGGTTCCAGCTTGGAGCAGGCACTATGAAGTAAAGTGAGAATCGCCTTCCTGGCTAAAAGTAGAGCAACAGTGAAACTTCAAGTCAATCAGTGGGAATTCCCTCCCCCTCTTTTTTTTTTTTCTTTGAAGAAAACTCCTGACCTCAGACACCCGGAGCTCTACCTACAAGAAAATAAAATTTTCCATTTTCAATAAAATCCATGTCTCTCTAGGCAGAAAAGTAAGTTAGCTAACAATCTGCAAAGCTATGGTCTATTTATTTACCAGGCTGACTCCCTGATGGGGAAACATGTGGGATCTTTTAACTTTTTCTCCTGCACAGATGTTCCTTCTACTCCCGAGTTTCCTCTTGATCTTTGGTTTGCTGTACCATATGGTGAAAATGCTGGAGATGATGTGTGCGGTGGAAGAGGAGAAGGATTCTGTGTAATTAAAACAAAAACAGTAAAAAAAAAAAAATTCTGACTGCTTTTTCCCTCATGTTAGCAAAAAAATATTTTTTAAAGGAAATCTGTTGAGGTATCAAAACCTCTGTTAACTCACACACCCTCACTGTTGGACACGTAGCATTGATGAGATGAAATGCTGATTGACGAGCCTCCCCCATGTGGCTTTTTCTGCCACTTTAGGTATTTGTATTGAGCTGTAGATCCAGTTCAGGTGAGGAGATAAGGGTCCTGCAAGGTCAAGTAACAGGACCACTTGCTTTCCTTCCTTACCTTCCTCAGAGACCACAGGGCCTGTGGACTGTGGGTTGAAAGACATCTCTCCTGGTCTGTTGGAAGTGAGTCACTGGGCTAGCAGGAGCTTTGGTGTTCCCCCAGCCCAGGGGAGCAGGAGCTTCTGTGTAGGATCAACAGGGACATAGAGCATTGCATTGTGTGAGTGGCCTTTTGGCTGGTGTTCAGCTTCAGTGGCACTGGTCCATCCAGGCTTATCACCCCAAGAGAAACTAGGGCTCATTTGGGAACGTCAGGTCAGCATACTGCTTACCTAGGCTTGCTTACCTAGAAAGTCAGGGGTGGTCAGGCTCCACCATGCAAGCTGGCTATAGCCATCAATACCCTTTTGAGCTCCCCAGGTTGAAGTCTGGTTGTGACTCTGCAGTACCACAGGAACCTGAGCCCGGTCAGCCCCGAGGTGTGTGTTAGAAATGGGTGGTTGTGATGACCTGGGTTTAGGAGCTGGTGGGGCAAGATGTTAGCTGATGTGGGTGAAACTCTGGCTCAAGTGGTCCTTAACCATGTGTTAAAGGGTGCTTGTCATGGGCCAAGAACACACCCACCCTGAGCTGTGCTTTCTGGCCATTCATGGTGGTGGTGTTCTCTGGGATGCTCTGCTCTCTGAGGGCTCCCTCCCTGCTGCCATTTCTCTGCTGCTGTCCTCCATGTAGGAACTGCAGTGAAAGATATTCCCAAAAAACTCATCTCTCTCTCTCCCTGGGAGTGCTCTTACTGGACCAGGGTAGTGGGCAGTGCCTTACCAGCAAGAAGGCAGAGTGGGTGCTTTATTAAATACACTTTAATCTGGTTGCTTCAACAGCATTTTTAGCCAGGTGGGTGGTCTGTCACATGGACAGGTAAAAACCGTGTCTCCACCAACATGGGCAGGCTGTGGATTAGAGACAAGACGTGTGTTTTGTAATGAAGAATGAGAGCCTAATTTTAGAACGGAGGCCAGGCCAGGCTCAGATGTCTGCCTGGGCCCTGTCCCAGCTCCTCTGTGCTGCCAGAAACTTGCCCTCCCTTTCTTGGAGTGAACTGTATCATACCTTTTTATGTACAGACTCTCCTGCAATAAGGCAGAGTAATTCCTGCAGTTGCTTTGTTTTGTTAATCTTCTTTTAAACCACACACAGAACAAGAGATCCCCTGATCCCTACATGGCCAGTCAATGTTTTTCCCTTAAGATGTTTGTTCTGTTTCCTTTGCAGATGCAGCTTCTGGACAAGTTCCCTATTGAAGGAGGCCAGAAAGACCCCAAGCAAAGAATCATCCCTTTTCTACCAGGTAATGCTATGAAGAAAGCCCTAAATAAGACGAGGGAGAGCAGCTGGGGACTGCTTCCCAACTGCTGTCTTCAGTACTTTTTGTGACCACTCTTCCAAACGCCTTTTCCCTGGGAGCTTGTACATGCAGCCATGTGATACCAGACCTCCACCTCCTCCTAAAATAACTGTCATGGTGTTTAGGGCTCCCAGGGGATCTTGCATCAGCTATTCAGGTTCAGGTTGGCTCGTGCCCTGCCGTACAAAGGGATTTGATGGCTTCTGGGGGGCTGTGCCTGTAGGGTGCATCCAGACAGCCTGAGCTTGGGCCACCAGTTGGTAGGCCACTGGAGACCAGAGACACCATTGTCTTTGTTTTGGGATGCCATGGCTTTGCAGACACTGTTACTGTACAATAAGGAATGAATAATTAGAGTTGCCACTGGGATGTAAAGGAAACTGAAAGAAGGTTAAATGCAAACAGGGATTTCTGCAACGCTGGCCAAAAAGATAAGTAAATATCTCTTTGGCTTGAGCCACTGTCCCTCTGACAGCTTTCAGAGAGGCCTTGGACATGATAGATATCCTCTCCTCAGGGTAACAGCACACACTTCCACACAGCTTCTTCCAGCAGTGACTGCAGGGATGGCATGGGGGAGAGGAGCCAGACCGCAGTGTGCTCTTGGAAATGCACGCTTGGGCCAGCTCTCTATTGTCTGACTGCACGCTTCTGGCTGTTGGTTTAAAGTTTGGCTCGCTGCACTGCCTGCCAGAATAAATGGAGTATTTTCAGCTTGTTAAAAGGTCTGTTCTGTCTTTAACTATAAAAAGGAGATCCCAGCTCTTCTTCCCTGAAGGTCTGTAAAGAGAAGCTGGGATGGGAGAGCTTAGCCCACTCCAGGAGCGTGCTGCGGTCCCCGACGTTGTTTGCAGGCAGAGCAGCTGCTCCAGATGTGCGGTGAGCACAGCTCCAGGGCTAGCGGGGAAGCAGGGACTTGGAAACCAGCAGCACAAATACGTGACGCAAGCATCGGAGCCGCAGTAGGGCAGCACAGCAGCCTGGCAGCCTCCACAGACCTTCTGGAAGGCAGCCCCAGGATCTGCGGTGCTCTGTGCTGCATCCAGACCCTCTGTAGCCAGGGGGAGGTGGTGGTGTCCTCCATGTCCAACCTGGCATGAGGAGAAGAGTCCAAGCATGGGCTCTCTTTCCAGCTATACCACCAACAAACTCATAGACAAGTCGCTTTGTGAAACCTCTGTGTGATGAGGATAGATACTGCTGGCCTGCCTTTCTTGCTGGAAAGCATTTTGAGATCCTTGAAAAGTATTGTACAAGAGTGCAGATGGCTTCAGGTGAGGTGCTGTAGGACAATCTGTCTGCAGGTGACAGTTGTTCCTCCTGTATTGACTGTCAATGGCCCATTTATTTTACTTTATCCTAGAAAAATGTTGTCTGAATGCAGGTGACTGATGCTCAGCGTGTGTGCAGTTCTTGGGGATGGATGTCCTGATACATGGGTGGGTGGTATTTGCAGAGGATGAGATACATCCTATATGCCCATTACAACACTTCCTACTCTTACCACCCTCCAAGAACATGAGGGAGATGGTACCGCTGCTTGTCCTTGAGAGGAGGAGTTCTATCTGGAAAACATTTGGGTTGACTTAGTGTCCCAAAGAGAGAAGCTGCCAGAATAGAATAGACCTCAGCTGTATTTAATTTAAAATTTCTGTGATATACATTCTACTTTTGATATCGAATCTCTGCCTCTTTCTTGTTGAACTCCTGAAAAGCCCTTGTTGCTTTACCCGGGAACAAGGTGACTCAGCTAAATGTCAAACAATGTCAAACTGTTAAATAAACTAGCTGCCATAATTAGAATATGCATGGCATTTCTGCAGCTGGAGCTGTGGATTACGGAAACAAATACCTAGCTATAAACTCTCCTAATTAAAAAACAGCAGGGCAGATGTTTGTACTTAAATCCTACTTTTATGAAGATGTTATCATCTTGCTTGCTTGTTGTGGGCCTGATTCAGACAAGCTGGAGTGATTCTACATGCTGGGTTCAGAGTGCCCACGGTTTGCCCATGCTGCTTGCAGGTTTGGGCGACTTCCCCCATCAGATCTGGTTTAGGAGGTTGAAATGTGCCAGCCTGTGACTCCCACTTGTCATCAATGCTGTGGTGGTCTCCTGAAATAAAGGCATGATCTGAGCCTGGGAATTGTGGAGCCACCTTTGCAGGTCACTTTGCTGTGGCAGAGGGTTGCATAGGGAACTCGCTGGCAGGTCACCCTTCATGTGGTGGAGCCACAGGAGCAGCCTGTGCAGCCACTGATCCATAGGCAAAATTGGATGGTGGTGGTACCTGAATCTTCTGCTGCAGTGAAGGCCTGGAAAGGAAGAACTGAGCGATGGCTGTAGCAGGTCTGGCCAAAGGGCCACACAGCCCTGGTGGTGGCCTGTTGTGGGTGCCGAAGGAGGAGTGCAATCTCTCCCTTCCTACACCCTGACTGTTTAGCAGTCACAGAGGGGATTGGGGGATATAGAATGCTGGGTGTGTTTCTGGCATGAAGATGGACAAGGGAAGATGTCTAAACTGACAGATGAATGGCCTGTGGGA